TGACTTCAGAGCCATCCGAAAGCATGTCAGAGTGCGTTGGGTTATCACAGAGAGCTGTGTGTAGGCATCTGCATGGATGTCTGACCTACAAGCACACCGAGGACTGAAAAGGAGTAAGGACAGTAGTTCAGAGACGCCTGATGGATATCTATGCACACATTTCAATGAGGGAACAACTAATCAAGTGAGCCCCAGAGCTCTGAAATTTGATTTACTCTAACATTTCCTAGTCTCCCTTTGCTCTGAGCATCAGACTGCTGCTGGAGCTGCCTTACCCTGTAGTAATCAGTGCTGTAGACATCTCTTGACATCCCAAAGTCTCCAATCTTCACCAGCAGGTTGGCTCCGACCAAGCAGTTCCTGGTGGCCAGGTCTCTATGGACAAAGTGCTGGGAGGCAAGGTACACCATTCCAGAGGCGATCTGGCTAGCGATGTGGAGCATCTGGGATAGCCCTAGCTCCCCTTTGGCTTGTCGAGGCTGCCCATCCACGAGGATCATAGCATCTGGGCCATGTGCCCTATAGGGAGGAAGAAGCAAAAAGCATAGAGTTGGGTCTCAAAAGTGACCAGGAGATAGGAATCCCACACGGTCGCTGTTCCTGCTGTGGTGGGGACCAGCCCCCAACTCTGCACTGTGAGGATGCACACACAGCTCCAGTGGAAAGAAAAGGAGTAAGAATAGGAGGTTGGGAGAACATTTGGTGGTTAAGCAGGTGCCACACATCCTTATCCTGTCCTTACTCTACCACAAGCAACCTCTTACAGCCACAGATGGAGACAGATTGCCTGGAAAAAGGGACTGTTGGCTTGATGTAACATGGACATTCTTCTCTGGCAAGACCTATGCAAAACTAATGAGCCTCCAGATACTTACATGTTTGCTCCAGCTAACTCTTACACTTTGGAAACCTTTCCAGAGGTAGAGGTATCACTCCCTTTTCTTCTACAGCCATCATATTCTTGCTACCTAGTCTCTTTACTAATCCCCAACAGCCTCCTCTATTTCCTCCAAACACCATATCAACAAACAACCGTCCCCTGATTGACATCAATCCAGCCAGAGATCAGAGAAAAGGTTTCAGAGGAACATCAGCAGCTTCATCCCTGGAAAATACCTTTTACTCCCTAAGCTATCCCAGAGGTAACACAAGTACTGTGAAGGCACAAGCCCAGGTGCAAGGGTTAGACCTGGATGTCAGCAGATGCAGAGAACATCCTGGGAAACAAAAGGAAATGTTTTACTGAAGCAAGCACATTGTAAATGCAGGACTTAAGGTCAGTCTCGCTCCTGTTCTGTCCCCTTTTTAGTGCCCTTCCTCGCTGTGTACCAAGCCTGTCTTTGCTGTGCTCCCTCTGTGATGTCTCTTCCCCTGGTGGAGCTCACAGGTAGCCTGTGTGAAGGTGGAATAACAAAAGCCCTCATATTTAGGGAAAAGCAAGAGATTTTGCTGTGACCTTCCTCCTTGTGACTAACGTACAGTACAGCATTTCCTCCAAGGCTTTCACACTGCTCTCTTTGAAATGATTCTTGGCATTTCACCCCTGTCATCAGCAATAACTCCACAGAGAGATAGTAAACTGAAACTGCACATGCAGAGCTTTCCTTCAGTCCTGACACGGGACCGAACAGCCCACAATGAGATCCAAAGCGTTTCCCTCCTTTGTCTCTCTTCCCTGATTGCCTGAGGATGCACCAAAGGGATTAGCAACCAGGCATTTGGGATCTAAACAATAATTTTTCAAATGCCTTCTTCATCTACCTCCTGCTGCCCTCATACTGGGAATGCGGCTCTGAAGGTGCCTTCCTGGTAGAAAGTATAGCTGGAAGAGGAGAGGAACTCCAGAAACAAATGGTGCTGAGGAGCCAGGAGTGGTTTTTGGGAACCACGAGTCGGTGATGCTGCAGTGAATGTGGGATGAGCTGGCTGGGAGAAGCACAGCGGGTGACAGGGCTGGGGCTACTGGAGGCATCTCAGAGGCTTGTGGGCATGGTGGGTGCGGCAGCACGCTGCTGAGGGCACGGAGGAGCTGCAGAAGAGTGTATGCAGAAATGACTGCTTGGTGTCTTATTAAAACAGCCCACAGATGGATTTACCCCAGGAAATTACCTGGTGGTGACAATAGATGTGGCCAACAGCTGAAGCTGAGCCAGGACTGAGCAGGTTGACTAAAAACAGCAAAAAAGGACAAACAATAGCTTCTAAAAGTGTGCTGGACAGTTTGTACCAGTCATGCCTTGCAGTTACACTGTATTTAGCTGCAGCTGATACCTGTTGTCATCAAAGGTAAACATTCTTAGGTGAGAAGCAAAGGATATGCTACTATCTCATTACTGCCACGTTTTTCAAATACAATAATGACCCCCAAAGTAACGTCTGTGTCTGAAGGGAACAAGTGATGTTTAAAAAATGGCCAGACAACATCTCTATTTCACGGGCTCTTTGTATATCCTACTATATAGGACACACCTTATTATGTTCTACATAGTGCATACGCTTCCCACCCTCTCTTTCTCCATCCCACATGGTTATAGTCTGAAACAAAGAAGCATCAACACATTTATGAGATTAACAGGAAGGATATTAGTACATTTAGTTGTGTGAAGAAGCCTATAGGGATTATGAGAAGGGTCTGCCTATCTTTTCTTGGGGAAAGAGGTTTAATTCAGCTTTACAGAAAGGCCATAAAATTGGGTGTATTCCTTGCTAAAGAACTCTTTTTTTTTTTTTTCTATTATGGAGTGATGGAGGCTTTTGTCAACATGGGTAAAAAAATCACCTCCCTGTCTTCCTCTGCTGAAATTCCTCTTTGTGTCCCAAGACAGACCAATTGTGGGGCTGCTTCGCTGGAAGGCCTGACACAAAAACCTCGGATCTTCACAAATTTCCCAACAAAATCTATTGCCTGTCTGAGTTAACAGCAAATGGCAACAAGTTACTACAGACTGCAAAGAGTGTCTGTAATGGCAACCTGCAAATATCCCTACTTCTGCTGTCACGGACAGAAAACAAAACCAGTGACAGAAGGAAAGGGAGGAAGCGATGGAGATATTTGCTGAGCAGAGAGGGAAGGCAGTTGCTGCAGAGCCCCAGGCGGTGGGTCTGCGTGCTGGGGAGCACCCAGCCTTTCCTCGCGCATAACCCGTGGGCAGTCTCCAGTCCCCGTGCACACCAGCCCCCTGAGGATGCTGTGCTCCCTGGAGAGCAATGCCTGTATTTCTCCATGGATCTTAAACTGATCGCACCACCAGCAATGGTTTTACACGCAGCAGCCCTGGGAGGCGTGTAGAGCCAAGCCGACACGTGCCAGCTCTAAGCTAGCTGGTAATTGATCCTAGTGCTTCCTCTTGCCACACCAAGTCGATTTTACAGACCATTAAAACACTCTCACTTCTCCAGGGAGCACACAAAGGTCTATCAACACTTAAAGGAATTTATTTATTGTGCTTTTCTCTAGGAAACTGGGTCTAAAGTGAGCCTCTTCCATTTTACCACTTTTTCAATTTCTGCAGTTAAACTGCGGAAAGTCTATCTGAGCATCTCTTACAGACACCCAGTGTCCCTGGCATCCCGTGCCTGGAAGCAACCATCTCCTGCTGTGGGCTGGGTGAATCATGTCACAATAAGAACTGTTGCTTGCTGAGGGATGCCAGGCACTCCTGGTGCTCCACCAACCTTCTCTGATTCGCTCACAGCCCCAGTCCTCCCAGAATTTCCCATGAGCAGACAGCTGACCTAACAGACAAAGCCCAAGACTCTCTTCCCTTACGCATAAGCTCCCTTGTTCCAAAAGTGACCTTCCTTTGGGACACAAAGGGATTTCACTGCCCATTACACACCAAAATGCAGAGAAGAGAGCTCATAGCTGCCTGCTCCATAGCTGCGTGACAAGAAGAAGCTGGCAGCTAAATGCAGTCCCAGAGATTACACATCTAGGGGGTTTCTTTTCCTTCCTAAAGGCCAAAGGTAATAAAACAACAAGCTTTTTTCTCCAGTGACACTGGGACAGACTCCGGCCTCCCAGGGCATGAGTGTTTCTCAGACACATCCCAAGGCAGGGTTGGGGCACGGGAGGGAGGGGGTCTGTGGCTCTAGCACAATATCAACCTCAGCAGCACTCTGTTTTGTGAAGCTATTCCATGAGGCAATGGGCACAAGACACCTCTTAGCGACAGAGAGAGAGCCTGGTTTGGACTACGCTCTTTGGGAGGTCCATTAGAGCAGTGAAGGATGCTATGCTTTAGCAGTAATGCCTACCTCCTCTAAGGAGAATAAGGTTGCTGGTTCTGTCAGGAAAAAAAGACCGGTCAATTTTCTGCCCTTCCTTGTGATGCACTGCAAGAATATTTTCGACTCTCTTCCTCCTGCATGAGGCTGAAGCACTGTCCTTAGCACTGCATCTCCAATTTGCACTAAAACCCTGTTTCATCCCAATGCACGGTTTCATGCTGGTAGGCAGAGTTCAATCTGCTGTTGCTGGGGGAGTTGCTGGGCCTCTGCAAGACAGGGTACCACAGAAGAGGGTCCTGAGGCAACCAAGGCTGTTGAACATGGGGCTGAGGAGCTCTGCAAAGCTAGTGTAGCCTCAGCCTTCACTCGTCCTACCTTGCCAAGGATGTTATCTATCCAGAGCCTGAAACAGGGACCAAGCTACAAAATCACATTCAAACCATCCACAACTATGTCAAAACAAGAAGAGAAACTAATGCTGGGATGTTTCTAGTTCAGCCACTGCCCTGTAAACACCCCAAGGGAGCTGCAGACAGGTTGGCACTGCTTGGCAGAGGGAAGAAGAAACCTCTAGGGTCCTTCCTCATAGCTCTTCTGGTGTAGGTCATTGCTTAGAAATTAAATCCTTAGGGAAGGACCTGTGTTTCCTGGTCAGAAACTGACTGTGATGGTAGAAAAATAATCACCGAGTGTATCCCAACCCCAGATCTAGACCTGTTGTACTCAAGGTTCTTGTTCCTGCTGCAATCCTGTTCACACTTGGCAGTCAAAACAGGAAAATATCAAGGGTCCAATTTTCTAAGTACTGGGAAATAAAACTACTAATTATTTCAAGAGGTAAGTACCACTCCACCTGCATGCAGGTTTCAGAGCGTAATTTCTGTATCATGGGAGAGTAGCACCACAAACATCCTCCCACGGTTGCTCCCTGCCCCTCACTGCCAGTGGATTCAGGGCACACAAATGATTTGCCCTGCGCTGATGATATGGTTGAGTGATCATCTGAGGGGGTGGCAGGAGGGGCCTCCAGCAATTTGCATCTCTCTAGGGGCAGGGACGGCAATTATAGCACTTCGTCAGGCCTTGCCTAGCCTCTTGATCAGCGTGGTGCCAGAGGTTGGGATATTTTCTATCTCAGTCAGGATCTCTGTCTGACGAGGCTTAGGGAACAAGGACCAGGGGTAGACTCTACTGGCACCACCTGAGGCACCTCCACCTTTTCTCAGTTCTTTTCTGACTATAGGAATGAAAACTAGAGATCAGCAAATGGCCAGAATACCAATCAGACCAAGGAGTCCAGCAAGTTTCTCAAAGGGATATTTTGGTTCTTGTACTATTGAATTAGGAGCTAGGTGACATGTGGAGTGACGGCTAGTGGCCTTCCCGCTTCAACAGAGCATGGCTTTGCTGGGTATACGGGACTCAGAGCTGCTGACAGTCATGGCTTCACATCCTTCTATCCCCACAGGGCAGAGAGGGATTGCAGCCACATTCCCTGCACCTTCAAACTTGTTGGGGTAGGAGAAGGAAAGTCTGGTTTCCATAGCTCACAGGGACCATTCCTGGGACTACCTAAGAGGAAATGTTCTCACCAGATCTGGTGAGGACCATCATCTCCTACAAGGTATCCTTGGAACAACTGGCTCTCGTTACTTAGTCCACCAGCAGCCACAAGGTAATGGGGTCACTGGTGCACCACAGATCTACACCAAGCCACACTGAGAGACTGTACAGCATCTCTCATGCCTTCCTTCGCACATACCTCAGGAACTTGTTCAGGTCACCGTGCTTCATGTACTCGAAGACCATGATGAGTGGGTCGCCATCACCACACACGCCATAAAATTTGACGATGTGCTCGTGCTGCAGGTTGGTGAGCAGCTCTGCCTCCCTCTGGAAATCCTTGCGGGCTGCCAAGGTGGGGTCTTTCAGTGCCTGAAAGAAAGGGCGCAGGTATGCATTGGGTGGGCTCAGGTTAGGGGCAAAGCCAGAACAAACAGTTCATGGCATCGCAGAGGAGCTAATGAGGAAGGGAGGGCAGAGGAACCACTGCCACTAGCCTGGTTGCACTGGGAGGGTTGGTGGTGGGTGCTGGTGGCACCACCTCAGTGTTTCATTCATGCAGTTACTGGCCCAGCAGGTTCCCCAACTCATTTCCCAGGCAGCAGCAAACACGCCTCAAAGGGTAATAGCTTCCAATTATTCCCAACTTGGGCAGGATTTGTACTGGTGACCTAGGGGTGAATGGCTTCATATCTCATTATTATTAAACTCCTGAGCCAGCCAGTCCTTGCTATCTGTCTTTTATTTTGAAATAGCTGACTACACTGCCTTTATTCAGAAGATGGATTTGCCTGGCTGTGCAGTTATTGTGTGGATTTTTCAAACTGCCTCTGAAGAAGGACACTGTCAAGTCTTTTCTCATAATTTTTAAAATCATGGTTTTATTCCCGGCTGTTTGTAACAGCTCCCCTGGCAGAGTGATGCTGAAATCGGTATCCTTAGTGAGAATATCTCATCTTCCAGGTTGCCGTAGCAGGGTAGCTTGCAGGCTCCAGGCTGTGTGGACCAGCCCAACATTGCAGGGTTGCTATGAAGATGTTGCTGTGGGTGCAGCTCATGATCAGGGAGGATTCCTCAGGGTTGGAGTCTGCCTTGTCCATGAATAAATGTGCAGTTGCATCAGAGAGCTAGTTCGAAAGCAGTGTGCGGTCATCCTGGGGCATCAAAGGAGGGCACTTGGTAAAAATGGTGAACAACTGACAAGATGGGATGGCCACGAGAATCAGTACGGTCATTGCAAACATTTATGGAAATGAAGAGGCAATTCTAGTTTTGAGTTGCTAGGTCTCAGTTATATTCTCCCCATCCTCCACGTGACAGGACTGTTTAGTACCAGTTCTGGTTTAACCGTGCAGCCTAACAGGAGTCAAAAAGGATGCAAGGTAACTTGTTCCAGTTATCCCCAGATTCAGTCCGACGTGCACCGGTTCCCCCTCAGTGGTGAGAGACACGAAGTAACTCTCCCCTTACCCACACACAAACATACCTGCCCCCTCTTCCCCACACCTTGAACCCCTCCATGGGGACAAGAGAGGTGACGTCAGCGGGTGCAGGCTCCAATTTATGTGCAAAAAGGGATGTTAAGCATCTGAAAGCTGTTGCTGCAGCCCCGGCTGGCCTGTGGCAGCGCTGGGTGCGATGCCACACACGGCGAAGTACCAAGTCCTCCAGAGTAGCTGCAGATCTGCTGCAAGTTTTCTACTCAAGCCTTAGGAGACTGTCTCATCTCCCTCTTCTGCCCTCAAACTGCTAGTCACATGGCACATTTTTATTTTAATTCTATGTCCTCTGGGACAGCTTGACTAGAGATATTTAGATGGATGTTAGTTATACAGTGCAGATGGCAAAGCATCCATCCTTATCTCAGGCACCCAATTACTTTTAGTCATTTAGTAGCTTCATAATGTTGATGCTACCCTATATTTCCCCAGGAAAATAGTCCCATCCCCCATCACCCTTTTCTTCCTCTTTTTACTGTGGTTGCATGTAAATTTTTCAAACTGCAGTGCGTTTAGGTTTCCCCACCTTCACACACAATCATTTCTACCAGGTGTTAGGACTCTAAGTGTGTAAATATCACACAACAGGGAAAAAAAAGATATTAAAAACCCCACATTACTCAGGTTGCACAACCAAGCAGTTAGAAGTGAGGGAAACAGGAGCCTGAAGTGGTAGAACAGAGAAAGAAAACCAGGACCAGAGGAAGAAAAGGGATGTCTCAGGAAGACCTCTGGAATGCCTCTCCTAGGAAGGTTTGGAGTGGATTGTATTTCTGCTTCCACCACACGATTCCTACATGACATCTGGCAAGTCACTCAACATCTGCAGGTTGCAGCCGTTGTCATGAAGTGTCAGTTGTTCCAATGTTACCTGGGAAATCCCCTCTCGTTCAGCATCAGGCTCGGGTTTGCACAAGCACCACGAGTTTATTGTTGCATCAGGGCTCAATGTGTGCCTGGTTCCTGCTGTCTGCTGGGCTGGAAAGGCAGGTCAGCCAAGTCCATCTTCCACTTAAGTGGGTTATTTCAGCTCAGTTTCCCTGCTTCTCCATCCACCCTCTGCAAAATCAGGATGATAAAAGCCCAGCACCGATCTGGGAGGCTGTGAAAACAAGTGCACTCACATCTAGGGAGCTCTTAGATATCGGAGTGATCATCACAATGGAGCAACCCATAGAGAAAAGAAAAATACACGTTCAGAGGACATGCCCTGAATACCAAGTCCTCCAGTATTTCTGGTACTTGACTTTGTAACCTCAACACTCTTTGCTGAATATAGTTTTTGCACATTTCTTAGGGTGTTTTTAGAAGCAAGCTGAATAAAACAGGAAGCTTGTCCATGCCATCACATCAAAACTCAGTTTATCTGCAGGGCTGCAACCTTTAGATCTGCTGAAAATCCAAGTCCATTTAACTGATTGAGTAACACAGCCACTTTCTTTGGCCCTGGGAGAGAGTCCCTGAGAGCAGAGCAGAGGCAGACTCAGGGCTGTGGACTCAGCTGCCCTAACCAGCATGTTCTGCTGCTGCCCTGAGCTGCAATGACCAGGGAGGTAATTCTCAGCCTCTGTCAAGAGCATGAGATCGTCACAAAATGCAGCCAAATCTCAACTTAATATGTAAAGCTTTTTTTTTTTTCCCTGAGACTTATAATGTGGCCCAGATTAGAGTGATTTTTCCCCGCCTCTCCCTCTCAAACTGGCAAGAAGCCAGATTTCAAGTCCTTGCTCCGAAACTGGATCTGTATGATCTCGCAGGATGAAAAGCACTCTGGAGATGTAAGCTCACAGTCGCAATTAACAGAAACAAGTTCAGATGCTGTCTCTGCCTACATGCAAATGAAACTCGGAAGAGACTTGAGAGACAGGATGGTGTAAGGGATGGCTGACACTGATAGGCAGGTACAAGCCATATAATCAGGCAATTAATCATACGGGTAGCTGTGCTACCTCAGCTTTAACCAGTCTCAGAGGTGAAAGGTGCAATCTTGCAGTTCACAGTCAGAGCATAACGGGACAAAAAAGGCTTGAACTGCCAATGATTAAAACCACTCTCAAGGAAGTGGATGCCTCCAGCATCCTGGAGAGAGTGCTGGAACCTTTCTTCCTGTAGAGCATCGGTTCAAACGCAGATCTTCTTCCAAGGAGTTACGAGGCATCAATTAACTCCCAAGGATGAGATTATGTGTGTCTGCCAACTGGTGCCACTTGAGAGGAGAGCACATTTCTGCACTGAGTGGTCTCCTCTGCCCAGAGCCACACTGACAGGGCACAGCTCACATGAGGACCCTCACAAGGAAGAAAACAGCACAGTTCAAGCCAAGCTGAACTTGTGTTGGCTCAAAAATCATCAGAACGGGAGCAATCTGTGGCTAGGCAAGCAGACTGGAGCCGAGTCGAGTTGCTTTGTGCATCTTGCAGCGAATTGATCCCAGCAAATCGGTTAGTCGCGACTAGCTTTTAAGTGCTCATTTTTGCTGAGGCCCTTTTTTGTTTCAGCTTCTGCGCATTCCACAAAGCGGTAAAATCTGGAAAGAGAAGGGCCCCGCTGCCGCGCAGAGGTGGACTCCACGCTGTGCTGCTGCAGCTGCCCGGGAGCTCTCAGCCCAGCTTCTCCTCCCTGTCTGTCTCCTGGCCGCGCCGGCAGGAAGAGAGGCTTTGGCATTGGTGAGAAGAGACGACCTTGAAGCGAAACGCTGAAACTTTGTGTGACTAAGTGGATTTACCACAATCTCCAGCATCAGATAAATCTCCGCCCCTGGCCCCCAGCCCTCCCCTGCTTCCCTTTCCCACGCAGGCTCACCCAGCCCCACACCACCGGCCAGCCCCTGCCCTACTCTCTGCCACTGGCCCCTGGCGTTTACCTTCACTGCCACCAGCATTTTGTCGTTGGTGGGGCTGAGGTTGTAACACTCGGCCAAGAACACCTTCCCAAAGGCACCTTCTCCCAGCTCCCTCTTCAAAACGATGTCTCTCCTCTTAATATGCTGGACATCTGTTGGAGGGAGGGGAGGAAGAGGGTTGGGGGAAGAATGAATCAGGGTTAATTCAGGGAATGAAAAACAACTAATTCAATTTTCTAGCAAGCTGAAAAGGAACTGAAGCTGCTTTGCAAAAATATCTACAGGGATCTTTTTACCCACCCACGGAACACAGCCATCTCTGGGACGGAGCTAGTCTCATGCAAAACATCTGTGAGGAAAGTACTTGAAGTTTATCACGTTCTCACTACAAGCTCGAGGCAAGCCTGTCCTCAAGGAGAGGAAACTTTGGGGCAAAATCTGCTACAAAGACCTGAATTTCTTTGGAATGATCCTGGAAATAATTTACCTCCTGTGAGGTATAGCAAAGGTCACATACTTCTGATGCCAGGCCAAGGCGAGATTAGAGGGTCCAGCTGAGCTGCATTTTAATCGGGATCAGTTTAAACCCAAACTCAGGGAGATTTCTGAGCCTGAATCTTGGCAAGTCATAGCATTCCCAAGGGGAGGAGAACCACCAATACCCATGCACCTCAGCAGGAGTGGGCTGGCAGTGCCGAGCGCTGCCTCGCAGCAAGACCCTGACCCTGCAGCCATCTCCTACGTGACTGTTCCCTCAGAAACAAGGTCACGCCAGGATAAAGTCACTGGCACAACAGACAAAGTGAACCCATTAGTTTCAATGATCCTCTCCAATGACATTTAGGATGGTGAGGACTGACAGAGAATAGCAACTGAGCTTTCAGGAAGAATCAAAAGAGCAATAGCTATTAATTTAAGAGGTACAGAGGCATAGGAAGATTGGTCTGCTCAGCTCACAGGGTCATTCATAAGGGCTAGATCTACCCCAGTATCAGCACCTAAAAGGGTAGATAAGCAACTAGGAGGATATCCACAAATGCTGCATCATATTTAAGTGCCACTGGTTGCTGGGAGAGATTGAGGGTCTTCATATTCTCTTTTGGGGACAAAACTGTGGCACAGCCACTTGTTGCCAAACCTCTAAGCACCTTTCTGGTATCATATGGCTCCTCTGGTGAAACAAAAAGGGCTTTTTTTAGTATCTAGAATGAGCTACGGAAGCAGCTAGAGATGCACAGCCACCACAGTGTTTTTTGGAGGCACAGTACCCAAAACTTCATCTCTCTAAGCTGGCCTTCACTGAAGTTTACTGCCTCCCTTGAGAACTGTGGTAACACAGACCACTCCCAGCATCAGCCTGATGGTCATGGAAGGGCAGTGAGAGCTACAGGCTCTTCTCCAGCACTTTGTGAGCAAATGCTGATGCATAAGGGGTCTCCTCAGAGGCACTGGATGGGACAATGCCCTCGTTCCACTCCTACCCTGACACGTTCATAACTTGGCCTGGCATCTAGTTGCTCACAAACTGGACTGCTTTTGAGTCTTTTCCATCATTTCCACATGCCCCGGGGGCTGTACAGGCATGTACTCCTTACCTCAGATGCATTTCCCTTGGGGCACTGCAGATGCTGGAGGTAAGGACTTACACCAGGTTTCAAACTGGTGGCAGAGAACCATCACCAACAGCTCTCAATATGCCACGAGCAACTACCACACAGGCGCCCTAGCAGGTACCTGCATCAACCCAAGGGAGCACGTGCCACAAGACAACACAGGTACCACTTAGCGCATCAAAAAGCCAATGGATTGGAAGACTAATATCCTAATGACTTTCATACAATTAAGCTTTTTAATTAGGAGCTCACAGGTTTAAGAAGCTGCCATTTCTGGCCCTTTTGCTCATTTGGGAAGATGGATGCTGTGAGATTGCATAAGCAATGGGCCTTGTAATGAACGATGCCTCTGTAGAGAATTCCCGTTGACCTTTTCATTAATTGTTCAATAGACTGAAAACTGTTAGTTACCAATATTAATAATATTGGTAACATTAAGGCACACGATGGTAGGCACATGCAAAATGACTTCGGTTTTAAATCTGCAGTGACAGCCAGAGAGAACAAATCACATGTGGACTTTGCCTTCTCCACCTGGTTTAGTTGAGTGTTTAAGGAGTACCTTGAGAAATGGGAAATATTATGTGTTGAAATGTTAAGTGATGCACTTGGGTGAGGGAAGTCCTAATCTAAGAAAAACTCAAATGGCACCAATTTACTTAATAGAGTAGAAGAAGAGGGGTTTTTTTCCTCTTTCTCTTGGCAAGCATTCCTATAGCACTCATCACCACAGTTCCTAGGATCTACTGCAGTGATGAACCATGTATTTTTACTCTTGGTCTCCTCAATAGCAGCAGTCAAGAAAGTTGCAGGGAAATGATCTCCTAGTAAGAGGAGCCCAAGGACATTTAAAAAACCTCAGAATCCCAACAGAAATGTACCAATTGCAATCCAGTTGCCCCATTTGGTGTGAGGCAAACTCTCAGAATAACCAGCAATATTGAGATTATTTACACTTTTTACAAGTAAGTGGTAAGACCACAAGACCTGAAGCAAACCTCTCCAAACTCCGCAGGGTCTTGTCCAAAATGTTCAGTTCCCAATTTTTCCTTCCAACAGCATCTTAATAAATGATCAGACATTTCTGAGAGACAGCATCCAGACTTAGTAATTATGTCTACATTATTAAAATAATGTCCCATCTGTCTTCAAGACCAGATTTCACAGCAAGTTGCTAGGGTCACTTGAGAAGCTTCGGAGAAAATTTATATGAAAAATTAAAGGGGAAACTGTGTCAGACAGAGCTGAACTGAAGGAGGAGCAATCCTTTAGTGGTAGTAGACTCACGTAGCACTGCTAGATTTAAAGTAAACTTGGACGGTTATAAAAAAGAAAAGGTTCATGAAGTTAAGCAGTTTGACAGCAACTGGACAATCTTAATGTAGAGTCAGAAAAGTACTTTGCTGATCACAATTTCTCACAACCTCGAACAGCCATAAATTTTGCTTCACAGTATTTTAGGCACAAATGGAATAATAAGCGAGTTATAATAAATTGCTTCTTCACACGCTATGGGTCTAAAATACTGAAGTTTACATCCAATTCTTCCATTCACAGTGAGTTCAGCACTATGATTAATACTACGTTACTATTAAATATGGGCTTTAAACATAAAGCAATGACAAACCGCCCTGGCACTGTGCGAGTGGCGGTGTTATTGTGCTAACCTTGCATCTCTTTGCTCGTCTGTCCTGGCTGTAACTCATAAGGAAGGCCGAGTAGCCATGAAAGATGCTGTGCTGCAAGGGCACCTGGGAGGTTCATCTGCATAAATCTGTTTACCTCCTCCTGGAGAAAGCTGAGCCCTGTCTGATAAACAGCTGGTGTTTATTTGTTTTAGGCAGGCAGCAGTGTGCTAATCTGTCTCCGCTGTGTTGCAGTCAGCCCTGCCGACAAGGTGGATGCAAACTGTCTTCCCATAAGTACCACTCGAGCTTTTTTCCCTCCCTCCCTGTACCATTAACTTATAAAAACAAGCCAACAAGACAATTCAAAAGAAGAATCTATGCAGGAGTCACAGCAAGACCTGACAGGAAAATAACCAGACTTGACAGCATGATGGGAACTCATTCAAGGCTGTGCTGTATCTACAGGAAGGATGTGAACACACAACACTGAAGCAATTCCAGTTCTAAACGAAACGTCTTGCAGTCCTTGTTTTGGGATTACTATGTCGTTGCGTGACATAGAAGGAGTGTCAGGCAGATACCTCACCTTCCTTCTTGTCCGTCAGGATTTAACGCACAGAGAATGTGTTTCAAACTCTTGCCTTCACTGTTGTCCTGAATAACACGTGAACCGTATCAGAAAACACCCGACCTGCAGCTGGCTGGAAATGCCCCATGACTTCAGCTCAATGATGGTAGCACGTGGGTAAGCCAGAGCATTAACAAGAGGGTAAGTCTGGGACACAGCACTCACCTTTACAAATTGCCTCCAGAGCAGGCGGCTTTCCTTTTCTTTGGAATAGCCAAGGCAGAAGGGTTGTGGCTTTGGATTTGCGATGCGATCTTACCTAACCTCCTCTGAGCCTTTTGCAGGATGGCTGACTTGATCTGTGCTTAAAGTGCACTCAGTCAGAAAAGTGGCTGTCTAAAAACAGCAACCTCCTCTCTGTATTCGCTCCCCTGTGTCCCTTAGTCATGCCTGCTCCTCTCCTCAACACAAACATATTTGAGTCTGCTAACCTTGCGAACCCAGCACAGCCATGGGATATAGGGGAAGAAGAAGAGGGAACAAGATTAATTCTGCTTTTCTCATACATCAATCTACCATATCCTGATGGGTCATTTCTGCCCTGGCCCCTGGGATAGAGCCTGGAAAAGCCAGAACATTTCTTTGCTTAAATCACTGATTCAATGACTCTTCATCCACCTTTTACACTCATACTGCAGAATCTCTCTTGCTTCTGACAAGGCCAAGACAAAAAAAACCCAGACTCGCCCTCCAAATCCCAGGTAGAGCATACAGAGCTGGTAACAGACTGAGTGCAATGAAAACACCCTTTTTCTAATGACCACCACATTTCAATCATACGAGCAGAAATCGGGAAGTTGCACACGTACATTTCATGAATCTAATTTTCCAATTATTATCTCATTTACAAATCAGTCCTGGGGGTCAGACGCAGAAGAGATGGGTTCAGTGACGCTGCAAATACTGCGTTTCAGATTCCCATCAGAGTCAGCATCCTTAAAATCATGGTTTTATAACACTTTTGAAACCCAGATGCACATGACTGTTTGGACACAGAGGACTACAGTGGGAGGTAAATGGACAAATCAAACTCCAAACAGAGTAAACCATGAGCACTGCCAGTACTTAAGTTACAGCAAAACTACAGTGCAAAACTACTTTCTAAGCTTGATCGTTTACACCAGGTCTAAAATTAATTCCTCATATCTCCTTCTTTCCACCTCTCAAACACTGGTATTTCTAGTGAGTTTCCCGTCCTTGAACTCTTAATTCACAAACAACATGTAGCTCATTGAAGAAACAGAGGAAAATTATAGAAATTTCTCCTTTTATTTTTGCCACCC